TATCTCTGGTTTAAGCCCCTTCATGAAGTTCCCCTACAGGGCCGACTCCGAGATGTGATTCAATCGGCTAGCCAAGTACTCGAATCTGTTTCGATAATCCGCCACCGTCCCCTCCTGCGTCAGGGCAAAGAACTGCTCATAGAAGTCTCCTCCCCCATCGGCTTGGAAACGCTATAGTAAGCAATCCTTGAACTCCCTCTAGCTCCGGATGGCCTCCCTCATGTCACGCCACTGATACCATGCCAAAAATTTTCCTTCCAGGCACAATCCTGCAGCCGTCAGCTTTTCATCCTCTGTCAAACCGTTGATAGCAAAGTAACACTCCACCTTATAAATCCAGCCATGACCGTCTTCACCCTAAAAAATGGACATATTCAATTTCCTCACCTTGGGATCTCCCCCGTTTCCCTGGTATCCTCCATAACCTCCCATTCCTCGAAGAGGAGGCGCTCCCCAAGTGTCCCGATCATCCCTCTGACAATTGTATCCTGAACCATCATCATATTCCCCTCTTCTCCCATCAAAATCAGCACCTGACGTTGAAATTCCTCTCTTATTCCTTCAAAATCAGTATCTCGACGCTGAAATTCATCTCTTCTCCCGCCAAAATCAGCACCCCTTCTGTCATATCCCATACTCATCTCCTCTCTAGAAAGAGGCTCTAGAGGAGGCATGTCGTTCTCTCCCTCTAGGATCTCCACCTCCGGATGTTTCCTCCCCCCAAGCGGGTTCGGATTTCCTCGAACGCCATGGCCGTCGGTGATCTCTCTTGCGCCCGATGTCGTCGGATTGGTTTTCATCTCAAGTAATTTCTTTAACATCTCTTCCATTACGGTAAACTTCCATTCCATCCTTTCATTGTTTGAGGTGATTTGGGTTTGAAAATCATAGAATGTTTCCTCCAAATCTGATTTTAGTTGACCTATTTCGCCATCCAAGACTTCAACCTTTTCCCCTGCCATCTTCCTTCCTAAGAAACACGAAGATCTTCTTCCGGTTGAACAAAAAATTCCGCTGAAATTTCAGAATTTCAGCTGCCGATGGTCTCAAATCGACGCTCTGATACCAATTTGATAGGAAATAATTGAGTTCACAAGTAACCCTAAGGTAATACTTGAGTTTGCAAGCAAACCTACCCACAATTAGTACAAAACAAAGAGGAAAACTACTGTTCGCAGAGAGAAAACAGCCCAAACAGTGGGAAATATGAGAGAAACTTAAGAGAACTTCGTAGGAAATCAAAGCAAACACTTGTATTCCACTAGTAGATGAAAAACACTTGCAAGATATAATTTTCCTTCAATTCGAGAGGAAGGAAATACTCTCCACAATCTCCAGCAACGCCAATAGCCCAAGAACAAACCCTAGATCTCAAATAAGATTCAAATTCAAGATGAGAGCCAAAATCTCTCCATAACTCCTAATTAAAGACAAAGGAAAAATACAAATTCCCAAAAACAGCCCCTCATTCAAAAATTTTCCTCCCAAAATAGATTTAACCCCAAGTGGGGCCCACAGGGGCTTCCGCTCACCCCTTGCTGCTTCCGCCTAGCTAGGCTTCGCTTGGTGTAAACTTGGATCAGTCCGGGTTGGACCGGTTCAGCCGGCCCCTCCTGGGCCAGCCTAAGAGTAGCTTTCCCATCAATTCGTAGTAGTATATATGTGTCGAGTCGGTCAGCGATTGGAGAAGGTGAGTTGGATGAAGTCAGATGATGATCAGTGTTCATCCCACCGAGATGGAAGGGGTTGTGTATTAGCCAGTTGGTGCAGGGGAGGTGACAGAGTGATCTTATCGCCATGTTGAGGCAAAAGGGTGAATAACATGTGATTATGGTCTTCTATCATGTATGAGAGGGAGGTTTTCGAGCGAAACAATGCATGTTGTTAGCTCCTGGATGTATTGAGCATGAGAATCTTGGTTCGGGCTTTGATAGATAAAGAATTGTCTGGCTGAGTGAGGAACTTCTGAGTTCGCCCTTACCCAGGGGAGGAAACTGGCTTGAGGTGGTGTTCGGTCATGATCTGCTAAACTCTAGCGTGAAGCTCCTTCCAGCTCATGAGTGAGTTCCTCGAGCAAGCAATCCTGAGAGCGGAGTGTGCCCTTGACACGAATGTAATTTGCATAGGTATTCATGTGTGTACACTAAAGATATGACCTAAATGCTTGACTATAAATAATAATTGTTGGACATGTAATATTTAGTGTAAATTTGCATAAAAAATATAGAAAGATATTTAGTAAAAAAATACTTAATAAATGTGTGGCTAATAAAAGCTGAAATATATTTTATAATTTGTATTATCTACAGATGATAGGACTTTAAGAAATTGCTCACTTCATTTAGTACGTGCGAAAATGCAAAAGTCCTTAAGTCATTGCCTTCGCTAGAGCCTTACTACGTATGCCACCACAGCCTTTGATATTACTGATATCAAAAAAAGGTTATTACTTATATCACAATTTTCCTTAGCATCTTTAATGTCATTGTTATACCATCAATTATTGTACCCGCCACCAGGGTTCTGTAATTATCATATTATGCTCAACAATGGAGGAAGAACATGCTGCATTAGCAAGAGAAGATTGCATCAGAGAGGATGAAAAAATAAATAATTTTTGAGTCATTGACAAGATGAAATATTGCATTATTGTTGCCTGGAAAAAGATTGTGCCAACTATGAACAAGAACCGCTTCAGAGTTGATGAGGAAGCAAAATTGTATTGTTATTCTCATTAGTGAGAGAGAAGGAATTCTTAGTGCTAGTGGCATCTATGACTTCAGAAGAGTGTTATCGCTTTGCATGGGAGTTGTATTGGAGAACAACAATGAAGTTGGGGTGGAGGGGAAGGACAATGGAGTTCGATCATGGGAACTAGGAGCGAATCATCATTGATGAAGAATGGAGGATGACTTATAATGTGTATTTGACATAGTGATTATCATTGATAAAGAATGGAGGAGGAATTCTTTGTGCTAGTGGCATCTATGAATTCAGAAGAGTGTCATCGCTTTGCATGGGAGTTGTATTGGAGAGCATCATTGAAGTTGGGGTGGAGGGGAAGGACAAAGGAGTTCAACTAAAGAAGGGAACTAGGAGCGACAAATGTTTTGATTGCAAGACATAGTGATTGTCATTGATGAAGAATGGTGGAGGAATTACAATGTGTTACTCAATTTTATGCACCTCATGAACGCCTTTTACTTTTAAAATAAGTATTTTTACTTAGAATGGTTATGTAAATTTTAGACGTTCAAGAAGTTTCTTTCTATCCTTCAAGTGCTCTCTCTCTCTCTCTCTCTCTCTCTCTCTCTTCCCCATACTCTCCAATTCCAATGCCTTCTATTCGCCTCCTTAAATCTCTCTCCCCCCTCTCCTATATATTGTCTCATCTCATACTCTCTTCCACCCTCCAAATTCAAATGTCACCTTTCTTCTTGTTTAAAGTGTTCACATGTCAACCTCCCTATAATCACAATTCCTCTTATTGCAACCTTAATCTCACTCCATTGTTAATCCACCTCTCAATGTTTTTCTTGAAAATAAAATGGAGCTCTTTTTAGCCTACTAGTTATGGAGTTACAACAACAAAACAACAACAACAACATCAAGCCTTTAGATTACTACTGGTTTGGAGTTAAATGAGATATTATCTCTCATTGTCGATTAATTTATACTACACAGGTGATGAAAGAAATAAGATTATTCTCATATTTAGTCATTGATTATGGAAAGAGGTCTATGAACTTTGTTCAAAGTTCAGTTATGTGAAGCATTTGATTGTTGAATGACCTTGAGACATGTCTATGAAATTTTATGCATTATGATGCAAGAATTTATTGGTGCTAACTGTCAGGCTACTTTTTATAACTAAAAACTTAAATAAGGTTAATAGAAAAAATTTCAAGGAATAATGATTGTAAAAGAGTCACTATCTTCTTGTTTAGTATTTTGTATGTGCTTCTTAGTGTTAACAGTTTGAGCAATATAGTATGATATTTTGCCTCACTCCATGCATATGAACGACATCAACATTGGTTTCTTTTTTGGTGCCTAAACTAAATGCTCTTGGATTCATTTGTAATGTATTCAGTTGGGGAATATTGAATCTTAATAGATTTGGCGCTTAAGATGATATGATATAAATATTTTATGAGTAAAAGAATGAATAGAAGAAAAAATGAATAAGACTCTGGGGTTGTTTGGTTGGATTACTTTAGGGTGTAAAGTATTCAAAATGCAGAAGTTTTACAAATGAGTGTTTGGTTGGAATGCAAAATGATGCAAAGTAAAGTATAATAAATGTAATATAAATTAAAGTAGTTCATTTTGAGTGTAAACTAAACTCTTCCGATTTTGAGTGAAAATTGTTTACTTCATATGCTTACTTGACCATCACCTGCTGACGGTCACCCTCGGCAGCCAGCCGCCGCCGGCCATCACCATTTAGAACTTTACTCTACATTCATTAATTTAACCAAAAAAAAAAAAACCATTCATCTGCATTTACTTTACATTCATCCAAACAACTCAAAAGTATTTCTTTTATATTGCATTCCTTTTTCAGCGAACCAAACATCCTCTCTATCGAAGTTCTTTTTAGTTATCTTGAAGATTATCTACAACAAGAAGTCAAATGGTGAATTCCTGGTGAGCGTGGGACTTAAAGTGAGAATTCAAAATCTTAAAATTCAAGGGTGCCAAGCATGTCTGTAAGATTTAAGGATATATGCATCAGTGAAGTTAATGAAGTTAAAAACATGCAGAGAACAATAAAATTCTTGTAATTCTTTTGTTAATTAGAAGCATCTCAATTTATGAACTCTTAGGTTATGTTGTGTATCATGTTCGAACCCATGCCTTGGATCTTTTACTCAGTTTCTTCCAGACAAAATCCAACTCATAATCTCTCTGATAATCATATTAGACAACACAAGTCTGTTTTGCTTAGCTGAATTGTGTTTGGTCTATTTTAGATGTTTAACAAGTGATTGCCTATATGATGTTGATTCTGAGATATTGGACCATCACAGGAGGGTTAGAAATTATTCATGAAACAATATTTTCTTCTATCTTGCAATTCCATACATCCGTCTTGATAAAAGATTGCTTATTCCATTTCAGTTACTGTAATTTCTTGCCCCTGGTTGCTGTTTTTCTCGACTTAAGGAGTCTTGCTCAATTGCTGTTCCAACCATTCAAAAGGGAATGAGGTCAGTCCCTTACATGCTACTATTAAAATAAATCCAGATTAAGTGTCGCATATCCAAATGATTTAATATAGTTGTGTGCTTTTTAGTAGATCTGAATTGGCTTATCCAAATTACGACGTTCCAATTGTTAACCATGTGAATATATTTACCAGATTTTAAAGTTTGGCAGAAGTTTATCTTAGATAACGTGAAAGTATCCTCGTGTTAGAAAATGAAAAGTGGTGCTGGTAGCTGAAAGGAGAAACTTGTTGTTGTCATGCTAAACTAGAGTAATACAAATACTGCATAAAAGCTGTTTTGGAATATGGATAGATTAAATGAACAAGCGTATAATTTGTTACATAAATCTATGATGCGCACAAATACACATATAGTTAGTCACCATAAAAAGCATTTCTTACGGATATAAGAAGCCAAAAGATTGATATAGGTCCTTGGAAAGATAAACTCAAAAAGATAATTCACTATAATATGGTTAAGTATTCTTAAGAACATCTTAGAAAATGCCACATGACTTGCACGTTGTTTATATATGAATTCTTGGTTACAATTAGCATTTGGATATCTAGTTCTATTGCCCATTTCTTTTAAAATGTTAGACTATCTCAGGGTATTATGAACAAAAATGATAATTTATCTGTGGCTTATTCTAGTTTATGTGAGTTGGAAAATGTCAAACTAGTAGAAAAAGGAGGATAAGAGTTTGAAGTAGTTGGAAATATGGCAAGAGTTTTTTTAACTAAAGGGTTATTTGATTGAATGTATTTAAAATACATGTATTTTAGAAATGTAATGTATTTTGATTGGATGAAAATTAAATGCAAAGAAACTAATTTTTTTGTTCAGATGCATGTAAACTGTAAAGCATATTTTAAATTTGAACTCCACTTCAACCACATCGATCCCCCATTAACCCTCGCCGCCTCCTTACCTTTGCCAAAATCATAGCCTCCTTTAGCCTACCTATCCACCTCGTCTCTTTACTCTATTTATCATCCTACCTCCCTTTGGATGCAAAAACATCGACCTATTCCCCCACCAAGTCCTCTATCTCTTCTTCAAACCGCTTAACCTCCTCACCAACACCTTAACTGCTAACCATTTTAACTCCAACTTACATGATTGCTAACTTGTCCATGTTGTGGATGATGGAAGTCATCAATAAGCTTAGCATCCCTTGCCTAGTCTTCCATGACCCAACGTGTTTCTTCTTCCTTTGTTCTTTCATATTGCCTAACGCAACTTCTATGAGCTTGTGGTCTTAGAGTGAATCATTTACAGTACGAAAGTAGAATCAGGATCACTGGCCGGTACAAGGACAATGGAATGCAAGAGTAGGAATGGGGTCATGAGAAAATTTGGTCAGAGTCGTGAGAGAATGGGGTTGGGGTTTCAAGTGAGCATCATTGCATTTAGAGGTCAGTCAATTTGTGAGAATTTGGAATTAACAGCAATGGAGGCATTTGGCATATTCTAAATTTCTTTAAAAAATTGTTTGGATCCATTTCACATCATTTTAAACGTCTAAAAGATTAAAATTCTCTTATTCCTTTTACTTTAATCCCTTTAGACTTGCAAACAAGCAACCCTTAAAATCATGTGCTTGTAATTTAGCCTTTTACTTTACACCATTTATACTTGCAAACAAGCAACCCTTAAAATCATGTGAACATGATGCGTACGCCTCAATGTCAGCTCTCATTGCGTAGGCTTTGAGGCTTACAAGTCTAAAATTGAGCTGAGGCGTGTCTCTTATTGCGCAATTTTAAACCATGGGCATGGGATATTAGATTAGCATACATGTAGTTATTTTTAGGATGGCCTTTATGTATTATTTTTTGCTATTAATATACTCGAGGAAGTAGACAGTTAATCATAATGCTAACAAGTATTAGTTTTGAATGATTAAGGTTACACTATCCCATTCATAGCCTAAAAAAAATCTTGATGTATTTAACACTCATATTGATTTTTAGGCTTAAGCTAAGGAATAATCCCAAGCACAACCTTTGGTTCATTCTCAACAAAAGACTTGATTATTGATAACTAAGTATTAGAATAATAATTAGAATAACAACCCTCAAAGATCAACTTAGCATGAGGGTATTTTTTTATTTTTGGGCTAGGAGATATGTATTTGTACTTTTAGCGTTCGGGAAATTGGCATACTATATGGTATGTCATTATAATAAGATTAGTTTGTAAGGAAAAGTCTGAGACAAAAGTGAGGGAGGTAGAGGAAAGAGAACAAGAGGAAATTTTGATTCAATCATTCAAATCGTCAATTCATAATAAATAATCTAAATTACAGGCATTGTAATTAAACTAAGATTACAAGATAAAAAACAACATAACAACAAGAAGCCTTTATCCCACAATGTGGGGTCAGCTACATGAATCCTTTTTCTCCATTGTGTCATGTTAAGAGTCAAATTCACATCTAAATATAATAAAAAATATCATTTCTAATATTTTCTAACCAAGTTTTTTTATGTCTACCTCTACCTTTCTTGAGATAAGTAAAATTTAATACATCTACTTTCTTAATCGGGTCATCGAAAAGCTGCCGTTTTATGTGATCAAACCATCTAAGGCGACTCTCTCTAATCTTATCTTTCATTGAAGTTACTCCAACCTTTTCAAATATATGCTCATTTTGTATACTATCTTTAAGAGTAAAGCCACTCATCCACCTGAGCATCCTCATCTCTACAACACTTAACTTAATATTATGCTTCTCTTTTAATTGCCAACATTCTGCACCATAAAGCGTTGCAGGTCTCACTACTATCTTATAGAATTTTCCCTTAAGTTTGAGAGGGACTTTTCTATCACATAACAAGCCCGATGCATTCCTCCACTTTAACCATCCAACTTGAATTCTACTAATATTATCTCTGTCTATTTCACCATCACTCTGAACAATAGACCCAAAATATCTAAAACGAGTGCTCTTATTAATGACTTGATCGCCCAAAATCACAATCCCCCATTAGATTTATTATTACTAAAATTACACTCCATTTATTCAGTTTTAGATATACTCAAACGAAAGCCTTAAAACTCGAAGGTTACAATAAGAATAATATCATCAACAAAATGCATACACCAGGGTACAACCTCTTGTAAATGTCTAGTGAGAACATCCATGACTAAAGCAAAAAAAATATGGCTTAAGGCTGGTCCTTGATGTAATCCAACTGAAATAGGAAAGTACTTGGTCAAATCACATTATGTTTGAACACAAGTAACAACTCCTGCATACATATCCTTAATGACTTGAATATAAACATTATTAACCCCTTATATAGAACTCTCTATAGCACTTCTCTTGGAACTCTATCATATGTTTTCTCTAAATCAATAAAAATCAGATGCAGATCCTCCTTATTATTTCTATACTTCTCCATTAAACCTCTCAATAAATGTATAGCTTCCATAGTAGACCCACTTGGCATGAATCCAAATTGATTTTGAGAAATATTAGTGTCACGCAACCTATGCTCGATAACTCTCATCCATAGTTTTAAAGTATGACACAATAACTTAATTTCTTTATAATTTGTACAATCTTATGCATTACCTTTATTCTTAAAAATAAGAATCAACACACTCATCCTCCACTTATCTGACCTTATTTTTAGTCTTCAAAATAATATTAAAAAATTTAGTAAGCTAAGAAATTTCTTCATCTCCTAAGCATTTTTACACCTCTAGTAGAATATCATCAGGTCCAACAGCTTTTCCACACTTCATTTTCTTTAAAGCCTCTTTAACTTCAATTTTACTAATACATCGATAAAAACAAAAATCTTTATTTTAATTTAGGGTGCTAAGGCCTTTAAAGTCAATCAGATTCTCATAATTTTCATTGAAAAGTTTAGTAAAATATCTCATACACCATCGTTGAATATCCTTTTCTAATAAAAACAAATTTTGATCTTCATCCTTAATACACATCACTTGAACTAAAACCTTACTACTATATCTTTGTTTATCTAATTTATACATATATCTTTCGTCCTCTTTAGTATCTAATATATTATATAAATCATTAAAAGCTAAAATTTTTGCATTGCCAATTGATTTCTTGGACTCCTTATGATATTCTTTATATCTTTCCAAATTATCAGAGTTTTTATCGCTAAATCAATTTTTATAACAAATCTTTTTATTTTTTATCTTTTCTTGCACATTTTGATTCCACCACAAACTATTTTTACTATTAGTATCTTTTTTCTTTGATACTTCAACCACATATTTTGTAATATTCTTAATATAACTAGTTATTTTTTTTCACATAACATTAACATTCACATGCACAGACAAAATCTTAAGAACTGGAATCTTAATCTCAAAAATATTTTTGTTAATATTTTTTATGCTCCCATCTAATTCTAAAATAACGATTTACTTTATTTTTAATTTTCTGCCCCTTCATCTTAAAGTCCAAAACTAATAGTGATGTTGGGTACATAAATTTTTACTCAGAATAACTTTACAATCTTTGTAATCTAAACGATCTGTTTTCTTATAAGAAAATAATCAATCTGAGTTTTACTATATCCATTTTTATAAGTGATGAGACTCTCGTATGTTTTCTTAAATAAAATATTATCAATTACAAAATCATAAGCTAAAGAAAAATCTAATATGGCTTTACTACCTCCATTAGTTGCTTCAAAGTCATAGTCACTATGAATGCTTTTAAAATCATCTATTTTCTATTAACATGAATTTCCTTCAATAAAAACTCTTTCTTTGAGAGATATTTTTTGTATTAATTCTTCTAGGTCATTTCAAAATTTTAATTTTGAACAAATATCAAAATTTACTTGAGGAGCATAAACACTTATAATATTAATAATCTTAGCATTAACAATAATCTTTGGAATTATAATTCTATCTAATTGTATTAATTTTTATAGCATTATCCTTCAAACTTTTATTTATAATTACACATATACCATTTATAATACAACTCCTAGAATACCATATTTTAAATCCCAAACTATTGGGTCTTCTCTCCAATCCATTTAATTTCCTGAATACAAAAAATATTTATTTTCCTATGAATCATAATATATATTAATTATATTAATTTGACTGTAAGGGAACCTATATTACAAGTTTCTATCTTAATTTCAGTTTCTTGGACTAGCTTCTTTGTCCACATCTTTTCATGATGTGAGAACCCTTGCCTATTTAACACTGCATCTGGGCGCCGATACAGCAGCCCTTGCTCACTTGTCGTTGTATCCAGACCATACAACACTTCACTTCCAAGGAATGTCCTAACATTAACACAATGTATTTAAGGATTCATTTCATGATTATTCAACAAGTTTTATGCTGGTTGTCGACTACTTAACACAACTCTCCTCTTTTTTAATCCAGGACTTGGGACCTAACAACGAAGTGTTAATTTAAAAGATAAAATCAAATTAATTTAAAATTTAAATATGGATAAGTACTTAAGAATTCTTTCCTATTTAAAATAAAGATTATCCCAAGATTAAATACATCAAAAATAAATTAGAAATGATAGAGATAATCTAAAAAGCACTATATTATTCTTGATGCATGCCATGCACTGCATCATTTAGGTTAAAATTTCTTATAGTTTCAATCACTTAAATTCAATCTCTAGTTCCTAATAGGTCATGAAGCGGTTTTTTTCTTCTTACTATTGGGAGTTGTTAGCTTCTACGTTGATTTCTCCAATGCCAAACTGACCATTTTCAACTTATATGATAATTTTAGGTGAAAGAAGATGACTCCTTGTTTCTGAAGTACACCCTGGAGGGCCATGCAAAACCAGTCTCTATTATCGCATGGAGTCCTGATGACTCAATGTTGCTCACATGTGGCAATGAAGAAGTCCTAAAATTGTGGGATGTCGATACAGGAAATTGCCGTCACACATTTAATAGTTCCGTGAAACGCGTTATCAATTCTTGTGCATGGTTTCCTGACTCCCGAAAAATAGTATGCGGCAGCATTAATCCTGATAATCGGATATATACATGTGATCTTGAAGGCAATGAACTGGAAGTCTGGGAAGGGGAAAGAATGCCCAAAATCTCTGATCTTGCTGTGACACCTGATGGGCATCGTCTAATAAGCATATGCTCCAACAGAGAAATATGGATACGTGAGTTCCCTAGGGGGAAAGAGTGGGTCATACCGGAGGAACATTCAATCACTTCACTTTCTCTATCAAGGGATGGAAAGTTCTTGATTGTTAACTTAAATAGCGAGGAGATCCATCTATGGAATGTCATCGATGTCTCAACCATACCAGATACGTTTAGAGGACACAAACAAAAGATGTATGTGATACGGTCATGCTTTGGTGGCTCAAATTGCTTGTTCATTGCCAGTGGTAGTGAGGATTCACAGGTAATTGCTAGAACATTATATATCTATACACACACACACTTTTTTAACTTTTTTACAAACTATCATTAGTAGTGTTATACCAATCTCAATTATAACTAAGGGTCTGTTTGAGGTAACTTTTAACTTGTTTATTTTTCTAACCACCATCACATTACTGTTTGGCTATTACTTTCTTATTGCTTTTGGGAATTTTTTTGCGTGAAAAACAACTTCTTAAATTGTGGTAGCTATAAAAAAAGCTCTTATTCATCTTTTTCAAAATATAAAAAATTTATAACACTCATGGCAGCTTCTTTCAAAAAAGTTGTTTTCATTATAATAGCTCATGGCAGCCCAAACAGACCTTATCTCGCGCCATCACTGTCTCTCTCCTATATAAGAGCTGCTTTTAGCGTTTATTCTAGTTTATTAGCTAATGTTCGTCACTTAATAGCCTCTCAGTTTCCATGACTGCATACAATCTGCCAGCTTATTGTTATACATTTATACATTTAGAGTGTGCACAATATCTCTTGTTATGCGAAGTCAATATTTTTAGGTTTGTCTCTGGCTGATTTTCCAAGCTTCATAATCAGCTTTTCTAATGCGTTGTTATCCATGCCTGCTGCTATGTTTCTCAACCATGCTTTTTAATTTTTATAAAATCCTTTCCACAATTTTTGGACATGTTATCTTTGTTTTAATCTATTTTCCCTCTTATTTCATTTGCATTCATTCTATATCTTTTAGTGCATCTTCTCCTCGATTATGAACAAATCAATTAAAATACTATTTTTTGTTTAACTCATATTGAACACCTTTTTTTGGTTTTTTTTTTTTTTTTTTTTTTTTTTTGTTTTACTCATATTTAACCCCTTTTTTTGGTTTTTTTTTTTTTTTTTTTTATCTTTATTTGTTTATTTTCTGATTATTAGAAAATAAATCTGGCAACTATTTGTGAGCATCAATGTGATGGACCGGTTCACCCGGTCCATTCTAGACCCGTGCGGGTCTATAGGAGGCGGGCGGACCGGCTGGACAAAAAGGGGCCCACCCACTTAAGTGGGGGTAATTTGGGTATGTGAGGGACTTTTGGATTGTATGAAGGGGGCCATTAGGGTTTAAGGGGCCCACCCACTTAAGTGGGGGTAATTTGAGTATGTGAGGGACTTTTGGATTGTATGAAGGGGGCCATTAGGGTTTAAGGGGCCCACCCACTTAAGTGGGGGTAATTTGAGTATGTGAGGGACTTTTGGATTGTATGAAGGGGGTCCTTAGTATTTCTTCTGCCTTCTTCCGTTCGCATGCGAGAGCTCCAGATCCGCCATATTTTTTTTGTCTTGAACTCATTCATTTCGTTTTTTTAGTCTTGCTGTGCATATTTTTGATTTGAGGAAAGGTAAATTGATTGAGCAAGAAATCTGTTGAAGATTTGACCAGCAACAATTTCTTCAAACATTCAGCAGTACTTCCAAACATCTAACTAGAAAATATAAATATATAAAAAAAAAAATAGAAAAGAAATCCACATATCCACAACATTTTCTACGCCATTCTAGCTCAAATCAACTTTCATTTCTTCAAACAAATCCCCACATCCACAGAAATTTCCCACAACCTGCATATATTTCACTCATGGTACCTTCATTTTCACAGAACAATTAAAAAACATCTCTACCAACATATCTATGATCTTCAACTTTCTTCACACCAAAAAAAAAAAAAAAAAAAGGCTTGAAAGACTACCAAAGAAGCTATAGAAGTAAAAGAAATTACCTATCCACAAAATCTTCAACTGACCCGCTGGGTCTGGAGCTCTCATCGAACCTTACCGAAGCAGACGAACAAAAAGTGAGGAAGGAGATGGAAGGGGTCACGGGCTAGGATTTAAAAAAAAAATTTAAGTGTAGCTAGTCGCCCATTTAACAAGTGACCAGCTATAGCTGACTCAGCCGAACATTGATCTCACGTGACAGTTCACGGTGCACGATCAATCCACGGTGGCAAGCCGGTCGCCCATCTGAATGTCAACTTTGACGAATTCTAAATTTTTTTAGGCGATTTAAATAAAATAAACTTTATCAATAACTACTTTCAAAATTTGTCCGTATTTCAACCGCTAATTTTTACAGGTTGATCACTGTTCGCTATAAATATGATTTGAAATTGACAATTTATTTGACTGTATTTTTAATAGTTCATACTTGGTTTTATCAGATTTCCTAACCATGTCTCCCATGTAAAAGTTGCAGTCAATTCATATGGGTGCATTAAAAACATCATTGGAATACATTGCTAAAATTACTAATACGATTGCAGATCTACATTTGGCAGCGGCACAGTTCAGTTCCTATACAAGTTCTGTCTGGCCATTCAATGACTGTGAACTGCGTGAGCTGGAATCCAATGCGACCTCATATGTTAGCTTCTGCAAGTGATGACCGCACCATCCGGATATGGATGGCCAATAAAAGGCCTAGAAAAAATTGACTAGCAGTTTCATTGTTCAGTTTGATTCTGTAAATATTATGTAATCTTGCAATATAGCTCCATAAAATGTTATAATTGTTGAATTCATATTGTCAAAATGGTAAGTTAATGATGTGGCAAAATTGACTAAATGATCAAAATAATATATATTTTTTTTTACTTTTTAGGCCTGCTTATTTTAATTCTAGGCTTTTCCTTGTATTCAATTTGATGTTTCAACTCATCAAATTTGAACCATTTTGGTCTTTATGGTTTCTTTGGACTGAAATTGATATAGGGAAGCTTTCTATAAGAGCATTGTAGACTTTTTGTGATCAATTTCATCAGTTTGAGTTAGTATTAAGCATTGAAATTAACTAGAAGTCCATAACGCCCTTATGAAAAGCTTCCAACGGCCAATTCCTATCCAATGAAGTTGTAAAGTGGACTGGAGGATACATTTGGTTTAGATTTAGGCTTCGTTTGGCACGGTTTTCTTACTACTTAAAATAGCTTTTTAGTATAAAATTTTTAATTTTTTTACTTAAAAACTGCTTCAGAAAGCAGTAAGAAAGCCATCCCAAGTGGATTAAAATGAAGACACCTAAAAAGTCTAGCAAATCTAAACACAAATTTTATTTTATTTTGGTTAGATGCAACATTTTGACGGTCCAAATTTTGCCACATCACTCGATTTATCATTTGGAAAAGTTAAATTCAACTTGTATAACCTTCCTCCTCAAGAATGTGTAGCTAGTGTTGGTTTCATAGTTAAGTTGGTCATGGCATGGGAAGACAGTCTTTTTGGTGGCTTGCAGATACTATGGTTTTGTTTATTGTTTCTACTTCAGTTGTAAATATAGATTTCACAATGGCATCAACATTAGCCTTGTTCAAATATCCTATAGTGGGTTCCAGTTACTTGTGATTCATTAATTAATTTCTCAAAATTTTCTCATTTATACTTGCTATTGACTGCAATGATGAATTTATTTTATGTTTTCTGCTTTTCCAAGGATCAATGTTCTACTGTCAATCAGGATCTTATAAGCCCTGTAGTATATTATTTTGATCAATTATTCATAGAAACAAGGGTGTATTTGGGGATTAATTATTCTGTGCGGATGCTGAACGCCATCCGGAAACCAATCAGAATACGTTATGTCATCCCTTTGCTATGTATCACGGCGCGATACTGTTCGGTACCGCTGACATGGCTGCACCTAATTCGTTTCCGGACGTAGAGCTTTGTTCGACCTCCACACAGAATAATTTTTCATATTTTGAAGGATTTTCTTTTTGAGAGAGATTTATTTTATTGAATGTTTATGTGCTTCTATTTGATTAGTTTTCATGGAATTAAGGCTCTACCTTACTAAACTCTTTTAGAGCTAATGAAGGTTTGTTCTAAAGACTGCAGGGACATAACCCCCAATGTGCTTGCAAATGTGAACCGACTCAATGGATCCACACACGTAAGCATCAATCATAATCAAGAAATTCAATGCATAATCTCCTCTTATTATGGTATCCTTTCAATCAATAAGTGCATTTAAGAATTAGTAAGATAATGCCATCAAATTTATTTAAAAAAATTATAAGTTGACAAGAATATAGAAGTTATGGGCTTTCATATTAATAATCTAATTAGTTCGTTAAGCATTTTTTGTAAGGATTAGGCAAAATTGTAAAGTTAATGTGGCCAAACTCCTAAGAAGTAATATCTTCTTAAATAAAAAAAATTAAGATAGGCAATTGCTTATCAGTAGTCATTTTCAAGTCATTCTAATTTGGTTAAGTGTAAAATTATAAAAATTCTACCAAAAAATTATTAAAAATGATAGGAACACAGAACCGTTTTTCAAATCAATTTTCTTCAAAAAGAGGAGTTGACATGATCCATATCAAAGAAATTATCCAACAAAATATAAAGCTTACCATCTATTGGATTTATTCAAGCAATTTATTCGACTAAAGCTTTCTTTAGGATGACTTTTTTACTGTTTCTTAAGGCTTTATTTGAAAAACGGTTTTTTTATACAAAAATTTTTAGTTCACAGAATTTTTGCACTAAAAGCCATTTTAGAAATAAGCAAAAAAGTTATCTCAAATGAAGCTTATAAAATTTCAGTACAAAAAATTATAATTTTTCTTTATTATTTTAGTCTGTCTCTATATCTTCACTTAGGTCCATGCTATTTTTAAAATTAATGATAAAATTAGAATGAAATATTTATTGAACTTTTTCTTTTATGATTTTGATATAGCACAAGATTGTGAATTTTGTAGAATATTATGAATGGGAGGTTAAGTATTTTCATTCCATGCAAAGCTATCTATGAGAAGCCACAACTATTTGTCATACAATTATTATTTTCTTACGAGACAACACGGGTCAACTTTATTGTTATCAGGTTTTGAGTCTTGGATATGAAAAATGAAGAATTGCATTAGGTAGTCGATACCAAACATAAAATTTATTAAATAATTATGACATTGTGTTAATTGTTGATCTCGTTTTCCGTGCACACTCATTCCCTTGAGAGCACGAACTTTTATTTCGTCCTCTGACCGGGCGTAGATCTACGTTCGGTCAGAGGATAGTTACACGGTTTTTGCTCGGCATTTGGTCGGTATTGCTAGGTATTGTTTGGTAATGACGAGGAATACCACTCTGTGAAGACCAATACCGAGTAATACCGAGCAATACCGAGCAATACCGAGTTATACCAAAAAATACCGAGTTTTTTAGAAAAACTCGGTATTTTTTGATATTACTCGGTATTGCTTGGTACTTTGTCTTCACATAATGATATTTCTCGTTATTGTTGATATTGCTCGGTATTTGCTCAGTATTTCTCGTTTTGTGGCTGCGATCTTAGTGCCGGCCGAACGTAGCTCTACTTTCGGACCAAATAAAAGTTCCTTGAGCCACTTATTTTTCCTTCGGTCGAGCAGATTCGAGCCCGACCTTGTCAAACCTAATCGACTCAAATCAGCGCCAATTAGAATTCAATTTCATCCAGGAACAGAGTTCGAATCGGCTTGAGACTATCCAAATGGATTAATGAAGTTACGGTTGAGATCGCCTTCGAATTCGAAATCTGAGCCGCTGTAGCATTCAGTCGCCTGATCTGCGGGTTTAGCAGGGATCGAGTGGCAGGAGAACGATGCGTGCGTGAGAGGGAGCGGCTAGGGGAGGGGCTGTGGGTGCTTCTCATTTGGCGTGAAGCAGAGATCGGGAGGGAGCTAGAGGGGAGGCCTGCTCGTGCGACTCCAGAGGCGGACGGAAGAGGGAAGATCGAGCGGATCTCACGCATAGGTATCTCCCTCCTTTTCTTCTTCCTTCTTCTTCTCCTTATTCTTCTTCTTCTCCCTCCTCATCCTCTTTTTTCTTTCCTTCCTTCTTTTTCCTGGTTTTTTGATTGTCGCATTCCCTTTACCTTCTTCTTCTTTACCTACTTCTACTTCTTCTTCCTATTTCATTATTAACAGAGAAATTGTAAAAAAAAAGTATATGAATTTGCTCTTCGCTTCTTTTACTTGTACAGAATATTCCACAAGTTTTTCCTATTATCTACTGATGCTGTATGTTTCTTTTCAATGTGCAATACTTCTTTAAATTAGATAAAATGTTAGTTATAACAAAAGGAGTATCATGAGCATCATAATATGGTAAATTATTTACCTCATCCATGAGGTCATTGATATCCATGAAATAGATGTTGGCCTCTTCTTGATTAGATAGATCAATTTATATTTCTTCATTCTCTAAGGGGGTGTTTGGTATAAGATTGGATTTAATTTTAGTAGGATTTACTAAATCCAGTAAATCCGGATTTAGTAAATCCTAGGCTTATAAATCCTGAATTGTGTTTGGTATGAAAAATTTTAAATCCTGTTAAATCCAAAAAGATGTTTGGCAACATATTACAGGATTTAAAACCGTTGGAGATTTAAAATAAAAGGAGTAAAATGCCAAATAATTAACCAAACATAACATCATTCAACGAAAATAACTAAAAGCATAAAGAGTGCACGACAACAATAATGTTTTTGTAGACATTGTTTAACAACTATAAGATAATACACTACAACATAATGGTGATGTTGAGATTTGTTACATTTGAGAGTAGCTTCCTCACGATGATTGATTTCTTTGACTATTTACCTGAAATAAAAAAAAAAATAAAAAAATTCATAAATATTGTAATGGAAGATAAATTAGTTTAAATGCATACAAATATTCTTACGCATTCCACATATCAGTTGCAATGACATATCTTATCGCTTCTCCTTGAATTCTTTCTCCTATTGTACTGTGCAAGTTAGGATCTTCATCCAACATTTCAACATTCTCATGTTCACTATCGTGTGTCATTTCTGTCTGTGATATATTAAAATACATGTCATGTCCATGATAACGACCTATAAAGTTGTGCAGAACTGCACACGCAATAACCAGATCAGCTTGAACGGTAATAGGAAACTTTTTCATGTGAGACAACACTTGAAAGCGCTCCTTCCAAATCCCGAATGTTCTCTCTACCACATTTCGCAGCTGGGCATGTCGGTGATTAAATAATTCTTGCTGATTTGTATATCTTCTATCAATTCTTCCTCGATAATCAGCTAGATGATATCGATAACCTTGAAAAGGAGCAATCAACTTATCAATGTTTGCATAGCCTGAATCAACCAAGTAATAATGATTATGTGGCACTCCAAAATGACTTTGCTCTATAGCCCATCTTAGCACACGCATATCTGCAGCTGACCCTTCCCATCCAGATGCTACATATAAAAACTGTCTATCAAACGACACTGACGCCATAACATTCTGCGAGGTGAACCCCTTACGATTATGATAACGGTTTTGTATGTTGCTACTAACTATTGCTGGTATATGCGTGCCATCAATAACACCCAAAGCATTCTTGACGTAAGGGTGAAACATTGTATTTGAACGTAACAAAGGATGACATTCTGGATCTCCCTGGGGTAAATTAATGAACTCATCAGCAAATGAGACAATAGCACGTAGAACAATGTTGAAGTATCTGCTAACTGTCTCCAAAGAATGCTGGAAAAATTCACACAACTGTCGGTAACTATGCGCATGTGCAACTCCTCGCAAAAATATATCAAGTTGCTCACCTGCATTCATATTTTTTGTGTCACGCAAATGCCCACGGCTTACTAATCGATCTCTTAGGCTTATGAATACATCTGGAGGTAGGCTAAAGCATTGGTACGCTCGGCCCGGATGGCCAGCAGGCACATCAGTTACATATCGATGTCCGGTGTAGGACCTATCGAACATAGGCCGCCTGATGGTTTGTTCATCATCCGAGGAAAAACTATATTGTATTAGAGGAGTAATTTCAGCAATAGCATTGTTAACTTGAATTTTATAAGTCAACTATGTCACATAACACATCCGGAAGTGTTTCACGCAAATAATTAGACATGGCTGCATAAAAGAGATGCTAACGATATTATTCCAAATCAATTAAAGCATAATACAACCAAGGAACATGGAAGAGAAGATTACAACATTAACTAAACTAATCAAAGCAAAAATATAAATCAATCAAACTGAATCAGACAACTACAACCAAACTTTCGACGTGTAAAAACGAGGATGCATGCTAACAATATATTATATCCACTCAATTAGGACATCGCCTTCCCAAGTCATCAATATGGCTTTGTTATCTTTGCTTTCTTTCAGTGCATCATGAATGACTATGAGTGCATGTGTTGTTAGATTCTCAAATTGGCCTAACTTGATCAAGCAATCACGCATACTATACGGATCTGTTTTTTCAATTGTCTCTCTAAAGAGAATGATATTCCTATTTGACTGAAGTAATAGTTCATTAAGATTTTGCAACCAATTATTCCTTTTCAGACATTTAGCAGATTTGGTTGGCTTCTCGCTAGATCTTTTTGTTTGTATCATTGGACTTGGGTCCATTTCCACACTTGGATCTACGTCAAAAGTTCTAGTTTGGTCGTTGGGTGGCATTCCATTCATATCATAGCTAATACCGTTAGCAGCTAGGAAATCATCCTCAATGTGAGGAGCATCTTCCTCACTGTTTAAGTTAACCACTGGCTCAGAGATCTTAGTGCATCTTGCTTCACTATCCACTGCAATGTTCTCGGCACATATCTTTTCAAATATTTCATACTGATGGAAGGGGTGCCTTCTAAATCGAGCTACCTTTGGGTTAACCTAGAAAAATGAAGTGTTGTTGATTTAGATGCATTAAATTTAAGCATTATATATGATTGTAAAGAACAAAATAATACCTGTTGAATTTCATCCCACAACTCGTCAGTAGCTACAGGGATGTGTAATTCCTCATTCCAACCCCATCCGCTACGGTTTGTTAGTAGATATAGTGTTCTAAAATCAGCCTTCATATTTTTAAATCTTATCATTACGGACGAGTCAGTGTAGTTTGTTCTAAGACGCATGTTTAACACAGCGATTAAGCTAGCCCATTGTTCCTTTCGCATATTTCCATTACAAAAATTGTCATTAACATATTATTCCAATAGCAACTCGCCAAGTATGACATTATGATCTTCTGGCCACTTTGGATTTCGAGTTGTACTTTTGGGCAAGCCGGAGTAAATTGAGATGTCGTCACCATCAGGACGTTGTTTACTACCGCTTGCACGTGCAACTCATTTGCCTTGTAAAAATTTCTGCATTGCTGTCATACATTAACGAGGATATTATTTCTAAGAAATTTAAAGGTTGTGCAAACAACTAATTTTTTTTTAGGCTTCCTTCAAGAACTTTTCCTGTCTTACGTAGGTAGATAGCGTTTGATGACTCGTCGCTCACACTTGCTACTTTCATATCGACGAAACCTAAATTTTTATTAAAAGAGCATATATTCTTTTTTTTTTCAGCGGTAGTTTGATATCCTCTTCCCGATCGAGCTAGAGCGAGCAGGTGTTTTTTTTTTTCTTCACGAACACGACGAAACGGAGAGGAATACCGAACACAAAAAACGAATACCGCTCGGTCATGCTCGCTCAAGGTCGCTGCCCTTTTTTTTTCTTCAAACAGAGAGGAATGAGAAATTTTTATTTCACCTAAGCATGCCTTAAAATATTTTATGCGTTCATTCTTTTGTTTTTTGTCTTCCCGAGAGTGGCTCTTTGTAATGTCTGTTTATGACATTCCTAAATTATATAAGCAATAATTTTGTTTGAATTGTTTTAATTTTTTTCTTAGGCAGCAAAGATATAATTTGGATTATGATATTCAAGTCTTGATCTTTAGTTGAAGTTTGTCCTAATTGAATTATAGTATTTTTTTTAAATTATATAAAGTATTATACTACTTTGATTGACAAATATAACACGATGAGAATATATGCTCTTTTAATAAAAATCTAGGTTTCGCCGATATGAAAGTAGCAAGTGTGAGCGACAACGAGTCATCAAATGCTATCTACCTACGTAAGACTGGTAAAAGTTCTTGAAGGAAGCCTAAAAAAATTTAGTTGTTTGCACAACCTTTAAATTTCTTAGAAATAATATCCTCGTTAATGTATGACAGCAATGCAGAAATTTTTACAAGGCAAATGAGTTGCACGTGCAAGCGGTAGTAAACAACGTCCTGATGGTGACGACATCTCAATTTACTCCGGCTTGCCCAAAAGTACAACTCGAAATCCAAAGTGGCCAGAAGATCATAATGTCATACTTGGCGAGTTGCTATTGGAACAATATGTTAATGACAATTTTTGTAATGAGAATATGGGAAAGGAACAATGGGCTAGCTTAGTTGCTGTGTTAAACAGGCGTCTTAGAACAAACTACACCGACTCGTCCGTAATGATAAGATTTAAAAATATGAAGGCTGATTTTAGAGCACTATATCAACTAACAACTTAGTAGCTACTGTCGAGTTGTGGGATGAAATTCAACAGGTATTATTTTATTCTTTACAATCATATATAATGCTTAAATTTAATGCATCTAAATCAACAGCACTTCATTTTTCTCGATTTAGAAGGCACCCCTTCCATCAATATGAAATATTTGAGAAGATATGTGCCGAGAACATTGCAGTGGGTAGTAAAGCAAGATGCACTAAGATCTCTGAGCCAGTGGTTAACTTAAACAGTGAGGAAGATGCTCCTCACATTGAGGATGATTTCCTAACTGCTAACGGTGTTAGCTATGATATGAATGGAACGCCACCCAATGACCAAACTAGAACTTTTGACGTAGATCCAAGTGTGGAAATGGACCCAAGTCCAATGATACAAACAAAAAGATCTAGCGAGAAGCCAACCAAATCTGCTAAATGTCCGAAAAGGAATAATGGGTCGCAAAATCTTAATGAACTATTACTTCAGTCAAACAGGAATACCATTCTCTTTAGAGAGACAATTGAAAAAACAGATCCGTATGGTATGCATGATTGCTCGATCAAGTTAGGCCAATTTGAGAATCTAACAACACATGCACTCATAGCCATTCAGGATTCACTGAAAGAAAGCAAAGATAACAAAGCCATATTGATGACTTGGGAAGGCGATGTCCTAGTTGAGTTGATAGAATATATTGTTAGCATGCATCCTCGTTTTTACGCGTCGAAAGTTTGGCTGTAGTTGTTTGATTCAGTTTGATTGATTTATGTTTTTGCTCTGATTAGTTTGGTTAATGTTGTAATCTTCTCTTCCATGTTCATTGGTTGTATGATGCTTTAATTGATTTGGAATAATATCGTTGGCATCTCTTTTATGCAGCCATGTCTAATTATTTGCGTGAAACACTTCCGGATGTGTTATGTGACATTGTTGACTTACAAATTCAAGTTAACAATGATATTGCTGAAATTACTTCTTCTCTAATACAAGATAGTTCTTCCTCGGATGATGAACAAACCATCAGGCGGCCTATGTTCGATAGGTCCTACACCGGACATCGATATGTAATTGATGTGCTTGCTGGCCATCCGGGCCTAGCGTACCAATGCTTTAGGCTACCTCCAGATGCATTCATAAGCCTAAGAGATCTACTAGTAAGTTGTGGCCATTTGCGTGACACAAAAAATATGAATGCAGGTGAGCAACTTGGTATATTCTTGCGAGGAGTTGTACATGCGCATAGTTACCGACAGTTGTGTGAATTTTTCCAGCATTCTTTGGAGACAGTTAGCAGATACTTCAACATTGTTCTACGTGCTATTGTCTCATTTGCTGATGAGTTCATTAATTTACCCCAGGGAGATCCAGAATGTCATCCTTTGTTACGTTCAAATACAATGTTTCACCCTTACATCAAGAATGCTTTGGGTGCTATTGATGGCACGCATATACCAGCAATAGTTAGTAGCAACATATAAAATCGTTATCGTAACCTTAAGGGGTTCACATCGCAGAATGTTATGGCGGCAGTGTCGTTTGATCGACAATTTTTATATGTAGCATCTGGGTGGGAAGGGTCAGCTGCAGATATGTGTGTGCTAAGATGGGTTGTAGAACAAGGTCAATTTGTAGTGCCACACAATCATTATTACTTGGTTGATTCAGGCTATGCAAACACTGATAAGTTGATTGCTCCTTTTCGAGTTTATCGATATGGTGGTGAGACCTGCAATGTTTCATGGTGCAGAATGTTGGCCATTAAAAGACAAGCATAAAATTAAGTTAGTTGTAGAAATGAGGATGCTCAGGTGGATGAGTGGCTTTATTTTTAAAGACAAAATGCGAAACGAGCATATATGTGAAAATGTTGGAGTAACTCTAGTGGCAGATAAGATTAAGAGAGAGTCACCTTAGATGATTTAGTCACATAAAGTGTCGGCCTTCCAATTATCCGGTTAGGAGAGTAGATGTATTAGATTTGACCGATGTGAAGAAAGGTAGAAGTAGACCTAAAATGACTTGGTTGAAAGTATTAGAAATTATCTTTTTTTTTATTAGATTTAAATGAGAATTTGACTCTTAACATGATACAATGGAGAAAATAGATTCATGTTGCCTATCTCACATTGTGGGACAAAGGCTTGTAACTATTGTTGTATTTGTTATTGTTGCAGAGATGAGGATGCTCACGTGGATGATCGGCTTTAGTCTTTTAGAGATATAATGCGAAACATGTATATATGTGAAAATGTTAAGTAGCTACAATGGCAGGTAAGATTAGAGAGAGTCGTCTTAGATGATTTGTCGATGATCCGGTTAGGAGAGTAGATGTATTAGATTTGACCTATGTTAAGAAATGTAGAGGTAAACCTAAAAACGCTTGGTTAGAAATCTGAGAATTTGACTCTTAATAGGACACAATGGAGAAAAAAGGATTTATGTAGGAGAAAAAGAATTTTCGTTGCCGACCCCACGTAGTGGGATAAAGGCTTGATGTTGTTGTTGTTGTTGTTGTTTTGAGTCTCATCATATTTTCTCTTGTTCAGATCTGAAACGCACATATTCTAATGTTGGGAATATAAAATATCAGGGTTCTAGCTTTGATCTAGCATTTCATTATTTGTACGTGGGACACATTGAAAGTGGTCTTGAGTCATTTTTTGGTTAAAAATTTTTAACACAATTCTCCATGTTTTATATAGTACTTTAAACAATATTACCAAATTGACTTTCATAATATAAGTTATATTTTTTTAACAGCGATTTTTTTTTATTTTTTATCTAGAAATAAAGTTAGCAGCTGATCATCCACATTTGGCGCCGAATCATGGCCTCTATTTTCTTCCAAGGGATAAGAAGCAACCAATTGATAGTGTACCCATTAGCTCACTTTAGCAGAATACAAACTGCTGTTTACTGCACATTGCAAAGGCCACAAGGTCAGGCAAGGCCACAGGAAGTTAGCTTCCAAGAACAGCGGAAAGTCCAACAAACCTCTTCTCAAACCACGACAAGAAAACCACTTGAGCAGAATATGCAAGGATATGAGGCAATAATCGGCATAGAGACGCATGTTCAGTTGTCAACAGTCACGAAAGCATTTTGCAGCTGCCCTTATTTCTATGGTTCTCCACCCAACACCACCATTTGCCCAGTTTGCATGGGTCTTCCAGGAACTCTACCGGTTTTAAATTCCAAGGTTGTGGATTTTGCTGTAAAATTAGCTCTTGCACTCAATTGTGAATTGTCTGTGACGTCAAAGTTTGACAGGAAACAATACTTCTATCCTGACTTGCCAAAGGGCTACCAGATATCACAATTTGACATTCCTATAGCAACCAAAGGATTTATTGATTTGGATCTTCCTGTAGAGTTTGGCGGTGGGCACAAAAGATTTGGAATAACAAGGGTTCATATGGAAGAAGATGCTGGAAAGTTGCTCCACTCAGATAGTGGGAGTTATTCCCATGTACGGTTTAAAATGTTGTTTTCATTATGTGGTAATTTTAAAATGTAATAGCTTTAACCATTTGTTATGTTAATTTATGATACTCTTAGAATTGCTATTTCAATTACTCTTGTGCAGGTGGATCTTAATAGAGCAGGGGTCCCTTTGCTAGAGATTGTTTCAGAACCTGATATGAGAAGTGGATTGGAAGCTGCAGAGTATGCGGCTGAGTTACAGAGGCTTGTTAGATATCTGGGGGTGAGCAATGGAAATATGCAGGAAGGTTCCCTTCGTTGTGATGTAAATGTTTCTATAAGACCAAGGGGTCAATTAGAATTGGGAACGAAGGTACTTAAATTATTCCGAGCTTATCTTGTCTGTTCTTTATAATGAAAAAAAAACCCAGAATAATCCTGTTTTATGAATTTATGCAGAGCATCATTAAATGTTCTTATTATATCATATGCTGTTGTTGCTGAAATTTGAAAATCATATATGATTAAAAGAGTTCCGATGAGAAATTTTCACTTTCCTTTTCTCTAGACGGTTTGGTTTATGTTTTGTGCTCAAGGCCAGGCTAGCCAAGCCCTTAGTTGTCATCATTTTTTGCACTTACACCTACCTTAATTTCAAGATCTGCAGTTGGGAAAATGTTCATATTTCTGTGTATGATTCTTCTTTATCTCATTGGTTTCTTTTTAAAATAATGTTGCGGTGACTCCATCCCACAAGTAAAGTAATAATTACAAGTGTTCTTTTTGTTGACAGGTTGAGATAAAGAACATGAACTCATTTTCTGCTATGAACAGGGCAATTGATTATGAGATATCGAGACAATTTCTTCTTCATAGTCAAGGTCAAAGTGATCAGATTGTTCAGGAAACTCGACTTTGGGAAGAAGGGTATCAGGTCTAATAATCTTTTTTTGGTTTGATTTTGGTTTTGCTAACAAAGTATCTGAATCCTCTCTTGTAATGTAGCTTCTTATTCTTTGTAGAAAACAGTAACAATGCGCAAAAAAGAAGGGCTAGCTGATTATAGATATTTCCCTGAGCCTGATCTTCCTGAAGTTGTTGTGACTGAGGATTATATAGAAAATATTCGGAGTTCACTTCCTGAACTTCCAGAATTGAAGCGCAGGCGCTATGAGAAGATGGGCTTAAGCATGCAAGATGTGCTCTTCCTTGCTGATGATATCAGTGTAAGCTCTCATATCCCAATTACACTAGAAGATATTGATAGGAAATTATAATTTTATATTATGGCAATCAATTTGCTAAATCTAGGTGGCAAACTTTTTTGATTCCACACTTGAAAATGGAGCTGAAGCAAAGTTGGCAGCAAATTGGATCATGGGTGATATTGCAGCTTACCTCAAAAACGAACACCTGTCTATTGATGAGGTTAAATTGACACCACAGGAGCTTGCTGAGCTTATATCTTCAATAAAAGGTGGAATCATAAGTGGCAAGATTGGAAAAGAGGTATGCCTTTTACTATTTTTGGATACTTTAATTAATGATATCCTTAGAACACCCATGGAAATAACAGCTATCAACTAGAATTTACATCCTGTTGTTATTGGTATTTAACTTGCTTGGCTATTTGGTCACTTGGCATTATCAAGTGAACTGACATTTTTTTCATTTCTTTGTTTTTTACCCTCCACTACTGAAAAAGTATAGCTTTCAAGTGTATTGTCATATGCTTTGAGCAATACAAGGGCAAGTACATACATAACTGCCAAATTTTATATATTTACAAAATTAACGCTCAACTGCCTCTATATTTATAGTAATGCCACCCAATGTTAGAGAGCAACAAAACTTAAATCCATAATTTTTTATTTTCATTAAAGTCTCGATAGTTTGGTTGTATCATGCCCAAATACATGGGTTAGGTAATTTATTTTAAAAATCTAAGTGTTAGTTTTATAAATTTTCTAGTGGTATGTGCTTAAATCTCCAAAAAAAAATTCTGCATGATAAAGCAAACCATCATCAAAATCTTCAATAATATTTGTTTCAAATGAGAAAGCTCAAGTGGTGGGAACCAACTGGAACTAATTGTAAGTGACAATGACAGAATGATACTTATTTGACCATGTGGGATCCAAAAATTTTGCGCCTCGGCCTCTTCGCATATTTGGGAGAATTTTAATATATTATGTTTTAGGTTAAATTTTCAGGAGGCAGATTAGTTAGAAAAAAATACTGCCCAAAGATTTTTCCCTTATCATGTTAGCATTTTATGAAATAAGTTATAGTTTTCATATGCGCAAGTTCTTATGGTTAATTATCCCTCTTAATGAAGAGAAAACACTTTTCATTAATGATAGTTAGTAGATAGGTACTAAGTACCTAGCATTTAGTAATAGTAGTTTTTTATATTTAGAATATGAAATTCACCACCTTGCTCTTAAAGAGAATAGTGGGGGGAATGATGATGAAACCGATCAAGATCTCATAGTTTCATCGTTTTGGGCTATTATAGTCCCTAGACTGCTTAGTTAGAGGACGTAGTCGACCCAGCATGATTGTTGGATCCTTGTCAACATCCATGATTGCTTCATAAGAGGGCAACTTATAGACCTAAGATGATTGTTTGTCTGAAGGGATAAATTCAAGTCAACCTTATCTAACGGAGGGTCTTGTGCCATATCAAATATCACCTATGATTTATTACTCAAAGTTATTAGTCATTGGGGGAATATATGGATTTTGGCCATAATCGAAATATAATAATACTTATCTGTGGCAAAACGACCATGCTAGAGGGCCCCATTCATGACTATTTACCTGGGGAGCTATCTTATGGCTGAAACGCCTGTTAGAAGACATGTGCCACATTCTTATTAATGGGAGATTGTTTGAGAATGAATCTTATTATATTCTTGATTGGATATTTGCTCTTTATGAGTTGTGATTATTCTTGAATTCATTGCCTTCAATAAGCAATTGCGGAGGATGAATGAATTTTGTTTTAAGTTTTACGTGATTGATTTCACTTGAATATTTTAAATTTTGATAAATATTGATTTTTGAGTTTTTATTAGAATTCGATCCCCGAGTGGTTAACTTTGGAGTTTGGAGGCATTTTTGAAAAGTTTTTAAGCTCCCTTTGGTGAGATTGAATCAATGCGGTTATCATTAGGGTGACTTTGAATTTAATTTAAATAAATTTATATTTTATAGGGATTTAGAGGCATTTAAAAAGATAGAGTCCCCGTCGTTTGAGATTCACTTTTAAAATGATTTTCATTAAGAATTTGAATAGTTTTATTCTATTATTTGAATCTTGTTAACTCTATATGTCCGCCAATAGAGGATTAACTTTAATATTAATTTTGTAAATTATTACACAAACATTGAATCCAAAAGTTTGTGTTTGTAATGAATTTCCCTTGAATAGGGTTATAATCTTTTTACTTTTGCATCATTTTAAATTTGTTTCATTGTTGCTTTAATCCAACAAGTTATTTAAATAGCTTCCTATTCAATTGACATTCAGACAAAATTTTGGCAGCCTCTTGGCCTCTCCCTCACATAAATGGCATTTATGTGTATTAGGTCTGCTTGCCTGCCCAAGAAAGGCATGCACTATACATTTCGTAAGACATGGTGGCTGGAATTTTTATCCAATTACATCCATTACATCAAGAAAGGTGTGCATGACTCTTCATTACTTGCATGAGTGAAAGGATAAATTTCCTCGCCGTATTAGAACAAAGCCAATGAATATTTATTTCACAATTTTTTTCATTGTCACAAATTTTTTAATTGTGTTAAAACAATGCGCACAGGTTAATTCACCTCATTGTGCTAAGAAAAGCATTAAACGTATTGCAATCAGGTTTTTTGAAGGTTTTCTTAGTGTTACGAAATTTATACATTTGTGCATGAGGCGAGGGAAGAGATGACAATGACGAAACGTCAATTTTTGTGGGGGCGAAAAATATAATTTTGATTTGCAAATATATTTTTTCCTTTTTGTTTTTTTTTTCTAATTGATTTTTGTGGGGGCAAAAATTTTAGAGAGAGAAGAGGGAGATAAAGAGTTCAAGAAGAGTTTAGAGAGAGAAAATAGAATGAAAGAGCACTCTCTCTCTCCCTCGGTTAGAGGGAGAAAAGAGAGAGAAAGAGGGAGGAGTGAGATTAGTGGGAGAGAATGAGAGAAAGAGAGAGCATTGGAGAGAGTTGGAAAGGAAGAGAGAGATAGGTTGATGCCTCTCTATTAGGTGGAGATTGGGGTTCGGCTGCTAGATAGAGGAAGGAGGAAGATGGGGAAGGTTTGGTATGCAGGTAGAGGCTGAGAGGTGGTGGTTAGGTGGCTAGGAGGTTTTGGGGCGTGTGAAACAAAGAGGAGGGAACTTGCAGCTTGTGTTGAATGGGGATGGGTTGAAGGAAGGGTTTGGGGCTGATAAGAGATTGGGAGAGAGGAGAGTTATGCGAACTGGAAGAAGGGGAGGAATGGTGGAGTGCTCGGGTTTTGGCATGTGCAAATCAAGGAAGAAGGGAGCTGCGTGAAAGGAGAGATCTCGGTTGGGAGCAACAAGAAGGGTGCGAGGTCTCAGCTTGGGTGAGCTGATGGGTTGCTTATTTAAAGAGAGGAGATCGAGCTTGAGGTTCTCAGTAATGGAGTGGTGAGCATGAGAGAAACAAAGGATCAGATTAGCTTGAATGGGTTGTTGGGTCGAACAAAGAAGCGGTTTTGTATGAATAGCGAGGAAAATGAGAGTGAGGTATGCGTGAATAGGAATTAGGAAGTGTGATATATTTTTTTTGGTGATTGTGCATGGTCCTGCTTATTGTCTTGAAAAAAAAAAAAAACTCTCTGCGCCTCTAACGCGAAATTTAAAAAAAAGAAAATAAAAGAGAAAATAGTAGGTATGTTGGTTCAAATAAGTGCCTAGATCTTTCTCTATGTCGGATGTCAAGATATGAGATCGCCAAATTGTAGTGGTATGACAGGATTGGATAAAATATGATTATTATTATTGTTATCATATATATTAATTTTATTTAAATTTAGTAAAAAATAATAATTAAAATTGTTGAATTGACACCGCGTGCGTCTTGGTTTTCACGCCATTGCGCCTTTTTCTCGTCTGAAAATCTAGGCAATATTTCATGTTCGGGTAATTTTGATGTTTGAGATATATCAATGAAGCTCGTTTTGCGAATGGATGACATTTGGGTGATTTCAGGCAATGTCGTGTCTGTAGACTACCATTTTTTATTGGGGTTGCTCAAATTAAGCATTAGAGGTCCTTGGCAATTTCAACGTTGTAAACACAACGATGCAGTCAATTATACGAAAGGATGACATTTGATGATTTCACTCAACGTCGGTTAGATTAGTATTTTCGTCGTTATTCGATCAAGTTGTGGGCGAGCAATGCTCTTTGATAAATTTAGTGTCCTAAATGCATTGGTGCGATTCATTTCGCTAGCAAATTATGTTTAAGTTTTTTTTTACACAGTCGAGGTGGTTGAGCTTGCCACACGTAATGTTGCGTTAGTTAGTTGTCCTTCTCGTCACACTTGCCTGAATTGATCGCGGCATGTATCCATCAACAGATCATTTAAAAATTATTAAATTTGGCAAGCATATCAAATTCCTCATAAGAGGAGGTTGGAAGCGAAAGGGAACGGAGGGAAGGTGGGGGGGGCGATGTGTAAAACAATCGTAAAGGAAGCACTATATATCAGCTGGAAAAGGTGGCGGATAAAAAACAGTTAGTTCCTACATTTGGAAGTTTCTAGTATTCTTAGTACCACTACCACTCAAATTAATTGCATTGTTCATCAGCATTTACTTTATGTTAAAATGCATTCACCTGACTAGTAATGAAAACTTGGTACTTTGGATATTACTGCAAGTAATTACATTCTTAGCATTAAATACCAACCGCCAACTTCAGATTAATATATCAGGACAAACAAATTCCTGCCTAAAGATGCAGTTCTAAGTGGTTTGTAGGTAATAAATACCTGATGAATTAGAATTTTCCTGTGATTATGAAATTAACTCCATCAAGCTTTTCTTTAAACCAGTAAGATTGGATTCCTAAATCAGAAAGATCAATTCATGTACAGATGCTTTTCCAGTCTAACGAACTGATTTTTTTTTTCTTTTATGTTGTGACTGACTCTATGGATTTGCATTACACATTCAAAACATGTATGAAGTTATTGTTTCCCTACTAACAATATATATGTTTATCTCAAAATAATTCAAGCCTCATGTAGTGCCAAAGAAGAAATTAATTCTTGAAGCTACCACTTATGTTAAATCTTCTTTCAATGGGTTTATTTTCATAATTTTGCAAAGTCCGAATATTAAATAATACTATTATGTTAGCTCTAACGCCCATCTATATCTAAAATGCAATGTTCTGGACGAACATGAAGTCCACATGAACAAATGAGCATAAATATGTTGCGTTTTGATATTTTTGCGCATTGTTCATGTGGATTCATTTATTCTGATGCCTTCCATTTTCTAAATATTAAGCCCCTCCAAGGTCTGATGTTTGGTCAGTTCTTTCTCTCTATATCTATATATATGGTGGACTTTTATCACCCTAGGAGGAGACTTATTATTCTGCACCCAATTAGGTTCTGTTATTATTACTTTCAAATGTAACATCATAACTATCTATTCCCTTTAACTATTAAAACTAATGTCATGCATGATTTGAAAAACTTTTAAGATCATTTAATCATCTATTGGATCCATCAAGCTATTCCCAATTGATGACACCAATTGCATTTGAAGATAATATCAATTTCAAAGTGTATGGTCTTTTAATTGTCCTATAATGAAATGCGTGAGTTGGTGATGATATCTTGCATGTCTTGGATGTTTTTGTTTGATAAAATACATGGATAAAACTAGATTTTTTTTTAAGGGCTTTTATATGTTGTGTGGTAATCCTTATATTTTTAGCATGTCTAATCAACGGTTATGTCGTCATGTAAATTAATGAAACTTGATCGAGATTTCATTCTTGTGTTAGTGATCCAATCAATAGTGCGATATTGAATTTAAAGATTTTATCTAAATTTGGGTGAAGATGGTCTATAATAGCTCAGCAATAAAAATTTACTTTTTTTGTCTGTTTTCTATTTTGCAAGCTTTGGCTGCTTGGTCACTTGGCCATTTTAAACTGATTGGCATCTATAATTTTTTTGTTCCTTATAATTTTTTTATCCTTGGTTATAAAGACAAACCTCACCCATTATCATCTGCATCATCATCAGCCTCATCCCAACTATTTTGGTTGGCTTTATGAGTCCCGGTCCGAACATTCTTGTTTCGTAAGACAGTTTATCCTTCTATGTAAAATTTCTGAACTGGCAACTTGACTGCATGTTCCAAAATTTGACAGATAAATCACAGTTTATCACATGAGTTTGCTTTCTGATCTATAAACTGTAGTGTAGAAGGTTATGTAAAATTGTTCTGGTCATCACTGGCATTTCATCACGATCGATGTGTATTATTGTGTTCTGGCTGTATTGCAGAGTGCAGTAAAGGTTCCACACATGTAGGCCTATAGAGAACAGACTTTGAACCTTCTTGTCATCTGAAGAGGCTTTGATGTATATCTGCTAAGCACTTTTAGAGACATGCAACTGATCTATACTGTGTTTACTTGTAGCTTGAGTAATAACGTATATCTGTGGTGTTGCATGATGCTTAAGGGTATAGGATTCTTAGTGCAATTTAGATGATGCAATGGATCTAAATCATACAAAATAAATTAGGATTCTGAGAGCAAAGACCATCAATTAGATGTAAAATTGAAAATATGGGGAGGCAAATCAAAATCATAATGCACTTAATGATTAAAAGCACATAAATCAATTGGAAATTTGAACTATAAAAATCAGCAAACCATTGAATTTTTTTCACTGCAATTGAAGTTTCAAGTCTAACAAATTTGACCAAAATTAGAACCCTTGCAATACCCATCAACAAAATAATGAAGAATAAAAAAATTAACAAAAGAGATGAGCAAAGTGAAAAAAAAAAAAAATGCAAGCTTCATGCCTGTACAAGGATATTATCTTCTCTCAGATCGCATTTGTGTACTAAAAAGAATTTCACATCCAACAGGAACACAAGATTGAAAAAAAAAAAAATCTGAAGTTTATTGATTAAATGCTAAGTGAAATTATATGCCTTAGATATTTATTTGGTATAAGATATAACATAGGCATAAAAATCATATTTGGTTTGACAAACTCAAAATTCAAATCTTGGTTTACTTGAATAAATATTAAGCCAAAAGTTGAAACCATTAAATTTCAAAATCCACGAGTCCATGAGGCCACAAACTCAAAAGCAATACAAATAGGAACCCTCGAAACAACATATGCAAGAAAACGACAATTTTATGAATTTATGTACTACAAGAACCACTCAAAATAGACATCGGCATTTGCATAAGCTAAAATAATCGAATTGCTAATAACAGGGAGCACCACTAATGCTGCAATATCCAAGTTCATTATTATGGATTTTGTGCTATAATGTCCAAACCACATATCTCTTCACAAATTATTGTTGATATTCACTCTATATGCTGATCTTCGTTGCATTTCAAATGATCAGTTAATTACTCTGAATTTATTTTACTTAATTCAGTACGGGGATTTAGTAATTGTTTCATTGTTTCTTTCAATATTTTTTCACCTTTTTGCCATTTAGTTGTTTTAAACCTTATGTAATTTACATAATCTTACAAAGTTGGATATAAGTTGCATGACTAAAATAAACATTTGTTCCTATCTCTGAGTACATGATCATATTCGTAAATACAAATGGAAGATTTTGTTTCTTAATTCTATTCCTTTTCTCTAGTCAAACACACTTCAACTTTTGCTCGCCTTTTACTGTTGAATTTGATTTTTCTTGACAGATACTTTTTGAGCTTATAACCAAAGGAGGAACCGTCCAAAAAATAATAGAAGAAAAGGATCTTGTTCAGGTATTTGAAAGTCACTTGTTTGCAAAGCCTACCAGAACTAAGAATGTCAAAAAATATGTGATCAAATTTGGAATAATTTAATATGAAATAATTTTGATAGATTTTCTTCTTTAAATTGGAAATTGTAGATAGTAGATCCAGGTGCTATTGAAGCAATGGTGGATAAGATTCTGGAGGAGAATCCAAAGCAACTTCAACAGTATCGCGGAGGGAAAACTAAGCTGCAAGGCTTTTTTGCTGGCCAGGTTTTCTAGAACTGGCAATCTGGGCTGCAACTTTTATTTGAAAAGATTAGCTAATCCGTTAATGCTTTCTATTTTAGATAATTATAAGTTGTTAGTAAACCATTTCAGGTCATGAAGGAGTCGAAAGGCAAGGCAAATCCAACGCTCTTAAATAAGATTCTTTCAGAAAAATTGAATGCCAACAGTAAATAAAGAAAAGGTCGGCATCTTTTTTGCATTGAAAATTGATGAAAAATATGATTGATAGTTTTGTACTGGTTTTTTGCTGATACTAGTAAGGAGATGATGAAGGCCAGAGAGGCTTAAAAAAGCTTAATGGTTCAGAAGTACAGATACTTGCAGACTTGTCAGGTTTCATTGCTTGTAATCTCAATATGATTCTTCAGTGCAGTATTTTACTGATACTGGTATGTAATTTTAACATTAAACTGATAATTAATATAAATTGCTTTTCAGAGTTTCCTTTAATAAATCATCTTTTTTGAGCTGTGAAAAATGGAAAAACCTGTTGTTCTCACTCTCTCCTGCCAACTGATTTTTCTCTTAGATCATAAAACCTTCTGCTTGGTCTCTCTAATTGTCTTGCGCATTAAGAAAATACTGATCATGCTAATGTTTTAGCTCAATATGGCTTACAATTTTGTCAGACGCAGCCCCTTGCAATCCTTCCCAACCAAGCATCGCAAGGCCTCAACGCCCTCTCTACGCTAACATTTGCAGTAGTGGGTTTGATGTTTTTTTGCAAGTTATTTGTTGGGTGGAGCAAATTTATAACTGTTGGTGTTGTCTAAAATTTAACTCAATCCTTCACTACAATGTCAACCCCTATTTTTTCATATCCTTACAACAAAATTTTGCCACATTACATCATTAAAGTTTTCTATGCAATTATACTGAAAATCTTCAAAAAAAATTAGACCTGATCAAATTGACATGAGTAGTGCAGTCATACTCTCACAAACCATATAGGAAGAAGGTCAAATCAAATATTTATTTATTTTTTTTGGGACATTTAGGCCAATTAAGGCAAACTCATGCACACCACACATACATAAAGGCTCAAACCTAGGACCTCTTAGTTGAAGCATAAGATCTCAACCAATAGGCCAAGGTGAGCTGTATGCAAGTACTTATTTTTCACACAAATGAACGCAAAGATGTCAGAAATGCAGAATAAATTTTCAAATTACACAACGCTGAAAGAGTAACAAAGATGATTGGAACAGTCGAAAAAGATATAAAAAACAATGTTCAAAATCTAAACAACTTGTTGTAAAAGTTCTCTAGATGAAAATAGTAAAAGAAGGTAGGAGGATGAAGTGATAAATAGGAGTTGTGAATTCAGTAACCTCCCTTGAGGTCATTAACAACATCATATGGAATAGGTGTGACTGTTTCTAATGTGGCGCCCTCAACCATGAAACCAGGCTTAGGTCCTTCGGGTTGCCTCTTTGTGCTAATGATCTCGCCACGAGACTTGGCCTCGGCCTTCAGCTCATCGTTTTTCTTCTTCCTCAGACGGAACTCTTCCGCGCATCTTGAAGGCTGAACGTGCTCGACACGGACATGGATCCGCTTCTTAATGATTCTGTTGCCCACCTGATCACATAAAATAAGCTTATGGGAATTTAGCAAGTTCACCGTTGCAGTCTTTACAAGTCACCACTAAGAAGTGTCTTGATGTAAAGCATTTGCTCCGTATGCACAAATTGATGGAGACTTCGAAAAAAAAATCTTCGTGTATCATTGTTCACTAATAAGTAGGTTGCAGTTGGCTATCTTGCGTTGTCCATTGGCTCTTATACTACTCCACTATAAATACTCCTTAAACCTTTTGATCATCGAGTATTCCACATATTTTTTAACTTTAAAAGGGAGAAGATTTTGCGCTTTAAAAGTTCTATTCAATCAAGGAGTGATTATGCGCTCATTCTTTACATATTCTTTTAGTACAAAATACAGTAACATATTCCTCCCAGTCTATTAGTTTTCTTTATGAATGGCTTTGTATTATTTATAATCCTTTTGCATAGAAATTATATTGTTCTTGTAATAATTGGCTATAGCCTTTATCGCAATCAAAGACTCAAAAAACTTAAAAAAAGTATTTCCTTATATATACCTAAGCATTCACTTAAGGAGCTATTTGGTTGATTGAAAAAAGAATGCAATATAAAAGAAATATAGTGTAAATAGAATGTAGTATAAAAGGACAACTTCAGTGTTGTTTGGATGAGGGTAAAATAAATGCATGAGATTATTTTTCTGTTTAGTTTGAAATAAAATGAGTGTAATGTAAAGTCCAAAGGTGTTGATGGTTGGTGATAGTGATGGTGGGTAGCGGTGGCCAACGTTGGTGGCCTGCACCGATCTACAACATGTTGCGATGGTGGCGACGGTGGGGTGACTGGTGGGTTGTGGCCGACGGTGTTTGGCGGTGGTGGTGGCCTATAATGGGTGGCGGCGACAACTGGCAATGGTCAGTGGTCATAGGCAGTGGTCGATTGTCATGACAATGCTAGGTGATGACAGTGACTGGCAGCGGTGGCGGCCCAAATATATAAAAAATAAACTATAGGAAGAATTCTAAATAAACCAAAATTTTACACTACAATTGTTTTACTTCAGATCAAACACCAATATTCTTAAAACCCCTATGTTTAGAATATTTTATACCTGTTTTACTTCACACCAAACAATTCCTAAATTGGAGCCCTTTACCCATTAAAAGGTGAAGGCTTTCTTTAAAAATAAATAAATAAATAAATAAAAGGTGAGGGTTTTCCTTCCTTGAAAGTAAAAAAGTTGTGAAAAGCATTTCTCCATCAACTTGTGGACAAAAAGAGTGATTATAGTAAAATCCTTAATAAGATGGTCTTTAGGTGTCGAGGTGGCTCAATTTGAGCCAACAAATGTAAATATCCTAGCTTCCATTTGCTCTATAACAAGATTTGGATTACTAGCATTATTATTTGCCTAGTTTACATAGAGATGAATATGATGTCTTGAACGGCTATGTAAACACATATTATTGTAGATATATAATATTTACAATTATTTCTTTATGATCATCATTAACTTTGTGTCATTATCATTAGCATCATATTTTGTATATTAATCAACTAAATCTTGCTATACATATTTGTGTGATGATTAAAGTATTGAATATTTATATGCTTATGTGCTAGAAAAACCTTTGTGCTTGCACTTTAAATTATTCAATAATACTAATCATAGCATTATATATATATAATTATGTTAATATTGTGAACACGTGTCATAAATTAATTTATTAGCGTATAATTGAGAAGATTCACTACATTGATGCTTACTCAATTACATCACTCAAATATAATTCATCTTTACACACATAACATTATATTATTAACTATGTGTTTAGTTTAATTTTTTCATTTATATTCTGTTGTGGATATAAAATAGTTTTTTTTTAATCTCTTGTGCTAATTGAGTTGGATTAAATTAGTTAAATTTTGAGAAAAAAAATTAAAACTCAAAAAGTGCATACCTAATTCATTCCTTTTTGATGTGCCTTAAACTAGCAAAAAAGCAATCTTTTTTTTTTTTTGCAATGCTACAACAACATCAAGTCTTTTTCACACGACATTAGAAGTTCTCAACACTGCAGAACAAATGGAAAAGGGAGTAAGGATGGCTGCAGCAAGGTTTCAACAATCCAACATCCCCACATAGAGAAAGATATGGGTATTAGTGAATTTCTCATTTCTATAAATTAGAACATAATACTTCTGAAATTCTAAACAAATAATGTATAACTCATAACTGAATTTAAATTTGTTTTATAAAAATTGGATTGAACCGGATGGAACAAAAATTAGCTAGGCATATCTGACAACAGACCAATAACCAACCAACTGCTACCGAGGCATCATCTACAGATATCACATAAATTTTCATGCATGTTATGAATCTTGTCACAATTATCAACACATAATATAAAAATAAGTTCTAATAATTCTCACATATAAAAATTCATACACCTGGTAGAAGCAATAATAGTTAAACTATATGACTAAAAGAGATTGTCTACTAAGAAAATCCAATACTCAAACAACTACATGCTTAGGGAAATTCTAAAGCTTGCGATCAGAGCAATCAAAATTCAAAAGCATTTTAAAAAAAATTTATGGAATAGTAGTTTAACTTGTCGATCAAGCTTCGCATTAGCTTATTTTATAACCAAAAACCATATAACATTGGAAATATATCCAAATAAATGAATAAAGGGATTTCTAATGGTATACTACTAAAACTTTCATATTTATTCGCATATCATATAATTCTTTTTTGATCACTAATATTACACCCATATTCTACTAAACTCTTGTATACCACCTAAACATCTAATAATCATTGCGGTTATATAAGACTGATTTTAGTAGAATATAGTAATATACTAGTAATTAATAAAATTGAGCAATATCCCAATATATATGAAGGTTTTCAATGGTATAACAAAGCTTAAGTTCTCCCGTGCTTCTTGGAACACTTCTCATGTTCAAGACAAGCAAGATGGCAATGTTGGTTACAAGGCCCTGTCACAATGGCATTCAAGTGCAAGGTGTTGAGCTTGGTGGCTATCAGGTAGAAGAATAGAATGGTTGGGAGGGAGCTGCAATTGCGGTGCCATCGAGCTCGAGCCATCAACCTTCATCAATTGTGAGAAGGACTACAGTGGCATCGGCAATGGTTCAAAGGAACCAAAAAAGAAAGCCAACAAGGCAAGGCCGGCTTCTGGGCGTTGTTGCAAGTGCCATCCCAGTGCAAGGAATTGAGCCTTGTGATAGCGAGAGATGAGAACAAGAAGGTTTTGAGAGAGCTAGGGATTATGGTGTTGTCAAGGTATTGATAGCCTTTAACAACTGGGAAGCAGCAGCATTGGAGCCACCAATGGTTCCAAGAGAACATGAAAAGCAACAAAGAGAAATGGCGCACAGCTATGTTAGAGGAATTTTGAGCTCTTCAAACACGAGAGATATAGAACCTTGTTCTACCATCCTCAACTCACAACATTCTACGGGGCAAATGCACCCTTCAAATTAAACTTAATTCTGATGGAACCATTGCCAAATATAAAGCTTGACAACCAGCTCAAGGATACAACCAAGAACAATGAATAAACTAAATGGACACAATCAGCCTAGTAGCAACAATGCCACTAATTCACATTGTCCTTGTGGCTGCCACTCAAAACTCATGGTTGATCATTCAAGTAGACTATCCTCAATGCTTTTCTCCATCACAAACTCAACAAAAAGACATTTATGTCCCAACCTGAAGGCTTTGTTGATATCCAATAATCTCATCATGTATGCCTCTCCTTCAAAAAGCTCTATAAGATCTCAAACAAGTACTAAAACAATGGTTCACTACTTTCTCCACTCACATTCACCAAATTGAATCCAAAACCGATACAACTGATCCATCTATAATGCTTTATAGCCAAAACAACACCATCTACATATTGATCTATGTTGGTGATGTCCTTCTCAACAGCAATGACTCCAACACCATCAATCGTTTACTTCAAAACCTTCAATAACACTTCCACATGTGCAACCTAAGGATTGCCTCTCACTTCCAAGGCATTCAAATAATAAGAACTTCAGCAAGGATGCAACTCAAACAATTGCAATATGCCTTAGACCTCGTACATAAATCAAACATGGACACTTGCAAACCAATTCAAAACCCAATTACACTCAAAGACTCCAATAATGAATATCTTGTGACTTCCGCACTCCATAACAATACAAAATTACTAGGCTCTCTTCATTTATCAACAATCAAGCATGTCAACATATGCACAAACCTCTTAATATCCACTTCCAAAGACTCAAATGCCTACTTCAATAAGTTCAAGGAACTACAACTCTCAACCTACTTATAAACAGAGGAGATATTCAACTGCAAGCTAGATGCACCGACACTTCTCCTCAAAGAGCCGTGCAATGTCCGACACCGTATCCGACACAACACTTGTCCAACACTACTCCGACACGTGTCGGACACGCCGAAAACGTGTCCGATTAAAAAATATTAATACAAATTGGACACGCGTGTCTGACCCGCATATCTTAAATATTTTATGAATTTTTTAAAATATAATCTCTTGTATTTGGCATGATTTAAACTAAATTTTTTATTTCCTATCCACAACACCAAATCAACGTCCGCACTTAATACCCAATCATCAAATATTCTCATTTTCATTTCTTTTTGGTAGTGAAGGTATTTTCATCTCCTCTCTCGATGACTGATAAACGGCATCGACGTCTGACTCTCGACATCCTAATACTAATCATTTTAAGGACAAATTCTAGTTAAATTTATTATTTTTAACTTATTTTTAAAATTATACTTGTTTAATTTTTATACTATTTTTTAAATATAAAAACTATAATACCGTGCCCAACCCGTGTCCGTGTCCTATATTTTCAATAACTGACGTGTCCCGTGTCCGTGTCCGCGTCATATCCGTGTCGCCGTGTCCGTGTCTGTGCATCATAGACTGCAAGCCTACTCAAACTTTTAATTGGCTGATCGCAGACCTCCTACTAGCTTACCACGCATTCTTAGCTAACACCAATATCCTAGCTTAGTACCTCAACATAAGTTGAATATTGGATCTTAGCCACAACTGCTACATACATCATACAAGTTCAACGCCTATTGCAAGAATTTCACCTACCATATGCTCAAGCAATACTGCTCCATTGAAACAACATCTCTGCTCTAAAGCTTGCTAACAATATGTGATTTCATGCTCACACAAAACACATCATTTCCTCGACAACTTCATCAGACATCATCAATCATCATGTTGCATCTCAACACCATCTTCTTGATACCTTCATTAAAACACTAACCATCCCCTTATTTCTCCAACTTAAGACCAAGTTACTACTTTGACAGACAACCATCAACTTGAGTGGGGATAATGATGGCATAAAGCAATCACAACGATTAGCAAATGCTTCCACTATTCTAGCTGCATAATCATGATCACTATCTTCTAATACTTGACTCATCTCAACCAATTTATTCACGACAACCTATATCCTCATTAAACCAATATTGTGTAATACAATATATATGCACAGAACAACCATAATGGCTTGAAATGAAAAAGAAAGAAGTTTTTATACACTCTGATTTATTTCTTTTCTATATAATATACTTCTCTGCATTCTACCTTTCAAATTATACAATACTCACACCCCATAGTCATCACGGTCAATTTCCAAATTTTATAAAAAGAAATTGAAGATTGAAAAAATACCAAGAAAATGCCACCTGCATTTTAAGAGTTTAGTTACAAAATTTAACCAACATTTAGGCTAAATCCTTCCACAAACAATTTTATGAGCCACATAAATTTACTGCCTAATTAAATCCTGTTTAGACTAAATCCAAAATTTAATCAATATTGGGGAAGTAGGTTAAGAAATTTAAACTACATCGCCATTATTATGTCTCTTCTTCTCCTTTATTTAAATAATAAATTTACCAAACAATTTGGTAGGATTTAACCAAATTTAATATCTATAATGCAAATAGTTTTAATATTTAACAACTCCAAGGTTAACTAAATATGGATTTACAAGATTTACTAAATTCTACTTGAATTAAATCGTACATGTAGCCGAATAGCCCCTAAAATTTCAGTTGCCGATCAAGGTCCAGTGAACTAAAGTTCATCAGCAGAGATCCCTCCAACAACAGTAAATACGTCAGGAAACTACGGCTATGAAAAAAGGCCCAAAATGATCATGAACATAAATAAACTAAAATTAAAGTCTCCCTACACGAGATAAATAAAAGAAAAAAAAAATATTAAAGCAGTAATATGCTCAACTTAACAGATTTTATACAGAGGGGATGTCAAAAACATAAAAATCTACACACACTGATCACGCACGCTTAAGAGCCAAAAGCAAAGCAAAGCAGCGTAACCACAAAGAAAGTTCAGAAAAGATAAAAAAATAAAAAAGAATACAACAAAGACATGATCTAGTTGTCTGAAACGCATGAAATAATAGGAGGTTTATTTATAACTATCAAATTATAGAAGCAGATCGTAAGTTTACAAAGAAGACGATCACCTGTTTGTTGATTTCAACTCCAATAGCCCTCTTTGTGACGTTCCATACTTTACCAGTCCTTCCATGGTAGAACTTATGAGGCATACCTTTGTGTATGGCGGCATTAACCTTGACATCAACGTAGTCCCCAATCTTGTAGGTTCGAAGGTACGTTGTCAAAGGAACATAGCCCTTCTTCCTGAAGGGCCTCGCGAAAAGGTCGCGAGTTCGCGAACGAAGTCCGTGGCCCGCCGGCATCTTTCACCGTCTCCTATCCCCGACTGCGATCTTAAGAGGATGGCAGGGTCTAGGGTTTGTATTCTTAAATAATGTATCCGGGATGGTAAGAAAAGTCGAAATAGCCGGTTGATTCATATTTAATTACGATCAAGGGACTTTTATGGGCCGATTCCTTGGTCAGCTCCATTCACTTCAAATGTTTTGTTTGCAAATGAGTCTCCTTCATTAAAAGTAATGCTTCAAAATTCAATTTTAATTTTAATAATGATCTTTTAAAAATTGAAGGTTTTATTTAAGATAGCTTTTGGTCATTATTATTTTTTTTTTTAAAGAAATTTTTGTGCTTAAAATATGCTATAGAAAACAATAAGAAAATTGTCCCATATGAAATCTAAATTTCGATAATTTTAATACAATGTTTAAGGATGGAAAACATTGAGCAAATAAGAAAATAATTTAACAATTTTAGAATACCTATAACTTTATAGAAATTCATTAGAGGAAGATAATATACTTTGAGATATAAAAATGAGGTTAAATATTTTTTTGTCTATCATATTCTTCAAAATATTACATAAACATTATCCCATTATATCACCTTAAATTTCTAAAAGGCCCAAGCAAAATGAGACGCATAGTAAAAGCTAAATCAACTAAAAATTGGAATGTTCAATTTATTCATCATCATCGAAATATGTACTCTCACTAATTTGTATGCATGGAAGTCTTTGAACTGAGCTAGTCTGGTGCTTCCACTTTTTGTCACCTATCATTGTTCATTAATTTCATCTCTAAGGGTATTGCCTCCTCCTCCTTAGTGGCAGTTGTATCATGGAGTGTGAGCAATTTGATTTTGAAGATCAAAGTTGCATCTTCTTGTGGTAAGCCCTCTCATTCATGAGTTGTTGAATTGCAAGAGTGTCACTCTTTGAGATGCAGTGAGTTCAATATGATGGTTTGCTTGACCATCAGATGGTTTCCTATGTATCTATTGGTATCATCATCACCATGTGGAGGAGGTGGCACTATAATGATGTTTGCTCAAGAAAGAAGGAATGGATGATCATGGGATTTGTGATGTGATTGGTCCAAATCATTTAAGCACTTTAAAGGGGTCCTAATTTCTTCTTTGTAGTTTGGAGTATATTTGGCGATCGACAAAGGTTTGACGATATTGTTGTAATTTGACCAAGAGTAAATTGCCTGGTTGGAACTCCAAATCACATCAGTGCTTGTCTGCTCAAAATAATATGTATAAAAAATGCTTTATTCTTTGTTGAGATTGTTGTGAATAGCCCTACATGCGGATGTATGCCCCTTTCAACAACTCGTCAATAACTTCTAGTACAGATTCATGGCGTACATAAAGATGAAGGGCTAATGGTACTCATTCACATAGGAATACAACCCATGGAGAAAAAAAAATCTATAACTTTGGTGTATCAATTATAAAACACATGCAATAGGTATTGATTGAGTCTATGTTCTATTACTTCAGTCTGTCCATATGCCTTTGGGTGAGCATCATGCTATAACATAATTAGTGTTAAGTGGTGTTGTGAAGGGTTATCTCCAAAAACTTTCCATTTAACTCGATCTAGATCTAAGATAATCATTTTTGGCACTTCATAGGGTTTTTAAATATTTAATATAAATAGTGTGTACGTATTATTATTATTGTTGTAAAGTAAGGGGAAAGAGTTGAGAAGTGTGCAAATTAAATAAAGCAATAAATGATAATGATAATCATGATATTTTCATGACAACATAGTGATTGTCGTATAATAAAATTTATGACAATATCTTCTCATATCACTGTTGAAATTGGGAGTGACTAAAATAATTTGATAGGTACAATAGGTTTATATGTTTTTGCTTTGCGAATTGGATAGGTATGGATACTATGCTCTCCCATGAATACTTATATTATATTTTGATAATTGATTAGTATGTACTAGGAAATATAGTTGGTAGTTATATCCTTAAAAGAGTTGTAGCCACTATAGTTCAAATATTAGCTCTACTCCTTGCATTAGTAGTGGCTATAAATCATGAGAAACTAATTAATAATTATCATGTACAGTGTCTTTTGGCCCCTCATCTTCATTTGTAAAGATGAGGGAAAATATTTTCTATTTTCAAATTTGATTATACTTAATTTTTTTTATCAAAATGATAACATTAGTCACTTTTCCCATTTTTCTAGTGTGAAGGCCTTTGTTAACAAGGAAATAAAGCGAATAAGGGCTTTGATAGGAAGGATGAGGAAATAATCAAGTTTTAAAAATTGGACTATATATAGATTTGAAAAAAAAAAGGTTCAAACAAGATTAAATTAGAGGTTGAACCAAATGGTATAATAAATGTTAAAATAACTTATCAATTCTGACAATATGATTTGATAGTTGTTCAGATAATAATTAATAGTTAGAGACCATAGATATTTCGACTTAATCCACCGTGCAAGTCTTGTACTTAGAATGATAAAAATATGTAGTAGAATCATGGAAAACCCTTACCAAGTTCTGAGTCATTTTATTCTTTTCATCCAAAAGCTGTTTTTCCTCCATCAATATGTTCGTATGTAAAGATGCAAAAGGATAATTTAATTTTATTAGCGAGTTTGTAGAAGCCTTAAGATTGCACAATTTCATGCATCCATTTTTGTGGTTTGTTCTTGTTCATATTTAGTTTTAGATTGTTATTATTTTTCTTCCAACAATGTCAAACAAAGATTGATTTTGTAGACGATGTCATCATGGCATGGAGTTGCTCCTCTATGCAACTTAAGTGGTCATTCATAGTGCTTGTTGAAGTGTACTTTGAACAATGTAAGATGGAGATGTTATTGTTAAGTTTATGTTAGGGTTATTCATTAGTCTGCATAATATAGAGCTAAAAAGACATTGTAGCTTCAGCTTGGATGCTCAACAAGATCACTAATTATTATAAATCAAAATAGAGACCAAGCAATTCAAAACACTTACATCTTCAATTTATTCTTCCTTACCCAAATACTACACCCACAATGTAATAGCCCGTATTTTGATTTTGCCAATTTTTTGTAGTCATTATAACTCCAAATTATAAATTGTATTAGCCATAGTATTTTGATTGTAGTATTTTACTTACATAATATTTTTTTTTTGTAACTTTTTGGGCACCGGTGAAAATCCTTAAAAAATTTATACATGTCAGTACAATTGAAGATTTCAGGACATTTAGGTGTCCATTTTATAAACTGATTTCACATATATTTTTTAAATAATATATTTTATTTTATGGATATTTTGTGTAATTTTTAAAGGACTAAAATGATCTATTAGAATTTTATATTAAAGAAATTATTTTAATTATATTACTATATTAAATAATTATATTATATTTTATTCAAAAATATCTAAAGGCATTAAAAAGTTTTTAAAAGCCTTCCTCCTTAAGTCATTTTGGCAAATAGAGTTTAGAAATAGAATTTTAAGAGAGAATGAGAAGAGAGAGAAAAAAATATGAGATTTGGAGGTCGCGATGCAATTTTTGTTCGTTGAGCTTGTTGGATATTTGCTCGTCTCGGGGTAAGGAAACTTTACCCTATTTCTGATTCAAATTTTTTGAGTTTTGGTATTTTTCTGATCAAATTTGTTTTTTTTATTATCGAAAAATTTCAATAACTTTGTATTGACAAAACTTTCACCACTTAATTTTTTGTATGTTATATAGATCATATTTATGAGCATTTTGAATATTTATTTGAAATTTTTTACTTAGTGATTTTGAAAATACGGTGATTTTTGACTACTCCAAAATTTATTTTGATATCTAAAAATAATAGTGTAGTACAATAAAAGTTTTAAAACATTATTTTATGTAATTCCTAGTATTTTGATAATTTTCTTAAAATGTAGATTTTTTCCTAATAGGATTATTTGTTGTTTACCATTATGACATTTTGTCATCTTCTTAATTAAGTTGAATTATGCATTATTTGCCACAATATATTGAAAATGGATGTAGATATGTGCTTGAGTAATAGCTGGTCGCTATTACTGTTATAGTATTGTGATAATAATATACGTGTGTGAAACAAACAAGTACAAACTGGTTAACCTGTTGGTTGGAGACTGATTGACATGCATATGATGGTGGGCTGACGAGCTTTCCTTTAAATATTATGATTTGATGTTATCATATACTAATTCACGTGATACACTGATTGAGATTTGTAAGGAGATCATTACTGTGCTGACAGACAAAAAGTAATGACTTTATTTATTGAGCCAATGATTTAATAACACTAATTCTAATACTAAAAAATATTATGATAGCTAGAACTTCTTACTTGTTTAGTGTGAGTGCTAAAATGCATGTTTTGAGACATTGTTCTTATTATTGTATGGATTTATTATTACAATATAGATTTACTATTATTGCATTATTCTACTACTCATACCATTGGATTGTTATTTATATTGATATAGATACTGATACAGTTTGATACTACTGATTTACTGTCCTGATATTAAGCATGTGATACACTGAGCACGTGATATAGAATACCTAAATAGCATGTGTACATTCTAATATGATTTTATTATGTTGATTTGATTTCGATAATCTTTACCAATATTTTGATATGATATTTTATATAATTTTTGTACTAATTGGTATTACTAATACGATGATTACTTTATAGATTTGACACTCATAATGGATTAATGCTTTACTATCTTTCGTATTGTATTATTTTACGGTTTTTAGATTTTATTACTATTACATATGAATTTTATTATTTATGTATTTATTCAATGATAATATGAATATAATTGTTATGATTTGACTGTTGACATACAAATTTTTTCTTTATCATTCTTTGAATTCATTTGTAGGTTTTGGTGACTTGTTGGGCTTTTTGAGCTCATTATATATAATTAAATGATTTCAGTTCAGGATAGGGGAGTAAGAGTGTGAGGCTGGTTAGATTCTATTTCTTTTTTTTTGTTTTTCTTTTGTACTAAGGACAAAATAGTTATGTAAAAATTGTGTAAATCTTGAGTATTGTATATGATTTTTG